AATGGAGGTTCCGCTGCTGGCGTGTCCCGGCAGCCAAGCAGCTGGAGGGCGGTTGCTCGTATCAGGCGACGGGTTGCGAAGGTGACGGTCTGAGTTTCAGCGGCGACAAGCATGCCCATCGACCTGAAAATGGCAAGTGCGGCTAGGTGCTTTCTCGCACTGCGAGATCGGGTGTGGTGTATGCGCTTAGATTTTAACTAGGTACATGTACGATTGACCACGTCTTGCGTAACAGGCTTCGGGCTTCGCGACATCTCACGAATCAGTCAGCTACGACGCGCCCGGCATACATCTACTAGGCCTGCGGCGCTGACACCCGAGTCGGGCAAAAGGCATAGTTCAGAGGCCTTCGGCCTCAAAAGTCAGAAATTTTGGTCCACGGTGTTTTATTTTGACGTGTTACCCCACTGGAGACCAACAAATATCTAAGAAAAACATTTAAATGTTTTGGGGTCATTTCCGTGTGGAAAACTTCCTCTGGCGCCCAAACTCTGAGAGATAGAGCCAAAAGGGCAAAATTATAGTAGTGCGGCTTCTACTTTGCCGAGTTACCATTAGGAAACCACAAAAAAATATTTAAAAATTAGCAACATTTCTAAATGCCAATTAAATAGCTTGCTCTCAGCCAATTTTTGAGCTAGAGGGCTGAAAATCAATACAGTTCTTGCTTTTTCTATTACCACGTTACACTTACAATTTCAGATACCTAGCTTAATCCGTTCTCGAGCTATGGTGATTACAGACAGACAAACACACGCACAGGCAGACTCGAAACTTTTTGATCATCATTGGAGTAATAGGCTTCGCTGTCACTGGTAAAACAAAGGTGTGAATTAACACCTTTCGAGGGGCGTTAAAGTCAATAGGCGTTAACGTTTTAGTTTATCCCAAATATTTTCTGCTGAAGCAAACCAAGGTTTTTAAAACTTCTATTTTCGCATTCAGCTAAAAATTTCGCTTCGATCAAGCCTGCATGTGATAGGGTTCAAATCCCAAATGAAAGAAATTTCGTAGATTCCTGAGGCTCAATTACTTCTTTCACCGTTCTTCAGACACATATCACATGTAGGCTCGTTCGAAGCGTAATTGTTGCGGAATTGAAGCGAAATTGTTTCTGTTTTTGGTCACGGTGGTCCACGGGGTAAAGATGATGTTCCTGGGGAACCCCGCTTAGAAATTTAAAGAGGCATCGAGATACCTTTCACCTTCCTTTCACCTGCTGTATACCATTCGAATTGGTGTATGTTTGTAGGCCACGCTAGTCCACGGAGTGTGAATGATGTTGCTTACCACCTTGGTAAACACCGCAAAAACAATTTCATCACAAAATGAGTGGTGAAAGGGAAGTGAACATTTAGAAAGTACATTACATACCAATACAAATTAAAGGGAGGAAGCCAATAGTAGGACCAACTGCAATTTGGCATTTTGTACAAATGCACTGCTAGAGAAGTCTATGCTCAAATGGGATGTTTTACTGCTTTGGTTTAAGTCAAAACTAATGTCAGCGTTCGGTTCCACATCATTATCGGATTGAAGTACAGTACTTTGCTTATTTCTTTAGCTCTGACTCTCTTGTGAGTGAATTTTACATTTGGTGGTTTAAACTGTTATATAAGGGGATCTGAATATTCTGGTGGAAATTAAGGAAGCATATCCTATTTGAAAAGTTTGAGAATGTTCACCTGACTGTTTGAAAGCTAAGAGAGAATCAATTAGGTCCAAGCAACAGAATGACTGGAAAAAATTAAAATGTTTACGACCATTTTGGTATTGTTATTAAAGCCCCATAGAACTCTCAAGTGGCACCTATTTTTCTATGACAACTGAGAATAGTTATAGAAAGTGCACATATAATATTGCAGATCAACAAAGTAAAACTATATTTAGACACCGGAATAATGTGCTTACTTTATGACATGGACACACCAGAACAGATGTAAAACAACAAAACGGAAAGAAATTCAAGTAAAAAACTTTATTGTATATTGTTAAAACTACTTTGCATGAAATTTCTTTGGGGAAGTAAGTAACTTTTATCACACACTGCCAAATAGGCAGGTAATAGGAACGCCGTTCTTTAATGTTTTATATTTTTAATACAAAAGAAGACGGCTTTTTCAATGCTTTAAAAGTACAACAGACTTATCTAACTTTTTGCCAGAAAGAGGCAGAACACCTTAAAAGTTGCCTTAAAAGCACTGTCCTCATTCTTACTTTTGCCCAGAATGTGGCGGTACGTACAAATATAGGAAATTGACTTTATAATTACAAAATTACAGAAAATATATGTTTAAAAACGAGATTAAGGCCTTATTTCTTGTCAAACCATTAGAACTCAGGAACTTAAGTCACACCACTACCTTTTGAGCAGAGTATGTGATATGACAGGTGATGTCTTAGCTTAGCCATAAATTGAAATATCACTTAAAACAAGAAAAACACCATAGGCTGAACAGAACACACAAAGATATCACGCAACCGAACGCATCAAAGATTTTAGTTTTCTTCTTGAAGCTTAACTTAAAATAGTGACTCACGCACTCATTATCACATACCTTAATGCTGGTGAGTTTAATTAACAACTTACTAACACATTAGTCAACAAACATATACTGTAAAACTTAAAAATAAAAAATAATACTTTCAAAGAGAAGAAGGAGGCTAAATATATTTCCTGACCATTAAAAGTGGATAAGGGAAATCTATAAATTTACAATTTTAACAGAATGTACATAATATGCTGAATTATAGGTAAAGTCTGAGAAAAATTGAACATTTTATAATAATGAGGAAGATAGACCTTGCAACTACCAAAGTTAATCTGTTACAAAAAAGACACTTTAAACTGTGGCTTTTGAAAACATTCATTATACCGTCAAAGTGTTATATTCCGGACAAATTTGACCGTTTTTCCTCAATATTTCTAACACCGGTAGGGGTATGAAAAATTCCAGCGGATTCTAGAAACTAGGCGCCGAGATACATATTTTCCATCTTGAGAGGAAATTTTCTTTGCGCCAGTTCACCTGCACAAGCCTCTGAAACCCCGTCCGAATTTAAACCTGAAGTCGGGGCAATTGCGGACAGTCCCTATTTATGCTATTAAACGGCAGTAGAACAGGTCGATATGCCAATACTGCACTGCAGCTGCGTGCCAGTACACACCAACTTAACCCGTAACTGCGGAACCAGAGTGATATTGAAATTTTCTAGGCAAAATTGGTCCATTTCAGAAGTTAAGAAACTTTTGCAGAAGTCAGTGCTATTTTAGTAGAAGGACATTGGTTTCGCAAAATACGCCATAAGAATGTGTACAACAATCTTTACCTCACAGGACTTTGTCAAAATTGAAAATTTAGTGCATTTTTAACTAAGATTTGTAAGTGAGAGATCGAGTAAAATACCATGCAGTCAATATTACGCGCAAAAGTCCGCACGATATTAAAAAATTTCGACTCCAGCGTAGTGAGGTTAAAGCTGTATCTAGTGACCGTGGCTTAGCATTGGTGCTATGCGGCACACGCATTGAAGTACCGTTTCACAGTGTGTGTACTGGTCGGGTCCTATTATTCAAGTTGCACTTCTCTGGGCGGCTCTAAGATGTGAAACTACTAATTATTTAAATCTCTAGAGCCTCCCGGAAAAGTATCTATCTAAATTATGAACCTACATTGTGTAATTTGCTGTAGGAATGCAATAAAGCAGTGTCCGGATTTATCCTGCTGGTCCGGAATTAGACACTTTGACGGTATCTTCTTGCTCGCTTAACTTGAGCCTCGCTTTGGTTTGTTTTCGTTGCTGACTTTTACAAACTTCAGTGCGTTGGTGTCTCCTTAAACTTGACACACCTTTGTTAACAACTGTTCTGTTGCATAAATCACATATGTTAACGTTTTCTCAGCCTTGTGCTTCCTTCGACCTTTTTCATACAAATCCTTTGTCTGTCTTAGCTTAACTTTATAATCTGGGCAATCTGAGTGTTTCTTTTCCATATGGCTTAGTAATGCATCAAGTCCAGATGTGCCTTGCTTTGATGGACGATAAGGGCACGGGTAACTGCAGGAGCATAGGCAGGAACAGGAAAGAATACATTGATAGGTCATCATTGTTCTGGATTTTGGCTCACATGATTCCTTGTCTTACTTAGCATCTTCTAAATCAATCTCAAGTCCTCCGACAAAAGAGTCGCTGACTGGTCCTGCAAATGGCTGTAACACTTCGCAGTCCTATTGGAGAAAAGGAAAAAAAGAGTTCCGACCAGAAGCGGATCGTGAAAGCAGATGATATCAAGTCAAAAGTTCTATTTTAGTCTATAATATTTCCGTGGGAGTTCGCAGGACGCTCACCAGCCCGAGCTCAGAGACCGGCGATTGCGAATCCGGCTACTTGTACCACTTCGAGCGCAATAGTGCAATATGTTAGGTTGCACCCACATCTCCTGCCCTGCCCCCGCGTCGTTGTATATGTAGGTTTAGAAGTCGAGGTTTTGTTTCTATTTTTTCTGCCCAGCAGCAAGAGGCTGGGGTGGGGAAACGGGGGCG